GCAAGCTGTCAAGTTTGTGTACAAAAAATCCTCACAGTTCACATAGGCCATACCAGGCAGAAGTTGGCACTGTGTCTGCCACAATTACAGTATAAAAAAATGTAAGGAAATACTTTGCTGGACAATGTTTGTTTGATCTGGATCCATTATTGAAAACAAGTTGAGAGTTTATTACTATTTAAAGGAATAAGGTGAGGTAGTGTTTCCATCATACAATCATGTACAAGCTGATATCCTGTTGTTTTTGATGGTTGGACATTAAATGTGAAGGCATTCAAAGTGATTGCTCTCATACTTTATTCACTAAGATAAGTGAACATTTTGTTCTCCCTTAGTAAATCAACCCCAATGAACCACAGAAGTGACTCAATGTCTCTCTCTCATCCTACTTGCCTGCTCTGTTCATACGGGGCAGTATGAAGTTACAATTGGATGGAGAGAGTCCGAATGAAAATACCTCTACTGAGCCCTCTTTTAAGAAAGCCCATAATACTGTGAGTCCTGTTTTGTGATGTCAAAAATTTATTATTGATAATGCAAACATTAACATAATTTATATCTTGTATCTGCAGGAGCCTCTTAGATATTTAATCATAACCTGATCCAGCTGAAAACAGTTGTGCCAGGAGACTGTCATTTAACGTCTATGAGCAATTCAACTGCTTTTATGTCTGGCACTGTTGCGTCACAACTTGTACAACTTACTATCTTTGTACTGTTGTCCTTGATGTAGACAACGAGTTATGTTATAGTTATGATTTTCTTTGTTCATGTTAATGGTTTCTGTACTTGAGAGGCCTGTTGTAAGAGTGCCGTATGTGACCAATACATTCCCTTCAGTGGTCTTGTATTCATGTGATGACAACCATTATATGTAACTCATAGAAGATGTGGCTAAACCTAATGGTAGATTACATCATGAATGTAAAAATAGCTCTGATGGCAGAAATTTACTTGTGAATATACAAAGGAATTATTGCAATTGTGGGTTCTGAATAAATGAACAAGTGATAATTTATTAACAGCATATAATAACTTATTCAAGACCTTTGAGTGTAGTAACGTCTTGATATATACAAGTTATACATTTAAAATACATTAAATAAACATATCTCTCTTCTGGCAGGCTTCATCTTCAACAATCAAGAGATTGCTCTACTTTACAACAGAATGCACATATTCCACTATTCCCCATTTTTCTGAGGCTCACAGATAATTCTGTCTGTTCTTAGCCATCAATATGTCCTTCCTCAGGCAATAGTTCATCTCAAAACAGATAGAACAAGGTCTGAGAAGTTCTTGATATTAGTCAGAATTGCTTAGTTCTATACAATACCATTCTGGTTCATGTGTTTTTAATTTACAAACATATAATGAGAATGGTTAAATGTTTGTAGAAACTGCTGGCTATGGAGAGAAAATATCATACAATCAATAAATGCAATTGGAATTTGGTAGGCCTTTGTTGCTGATGCTGGGGATTAGTGGGTTGGAATTTTCAACCAGTATGATATAGATCTTTGATGACGTGGCAGATGTAAGCCAATGCAACACCGTATTGCCTACAGAAAGTAACAGATAGCTCACCTGTAAACCACTGAACTGTAAAGGTACCTCCTGCTGTTTAAAAGGGGATGTTCTAAGAGTATAACAGAGATAATTAGGGATGTTCTGATACCAAGTACTTTACTTGGTACACATACAAGTACAAGTACAAATACTTTTCCAGCTCCAAGACTAGATTAGAGAAAAACTCAAAGTATATAAATATATTAGGGATGCACCGATACCATTTTCTTTCAGACCAAGTACTTGTCCAAGTACTCACAAATACAATTACTGATACATTTCTTGTTTAGTGTCATGTGACAGTTTTTTTAAAACAATACAGAGTAATGATTTCAGGACAGTGGTGGTGCACCAGGGCCCAGTTACAGCTGCAACCGATGCAACCCTGGTAGTTCTCGTGAAAATGCCAAGTATCGGCACTGGTATCTGCACTGGTATCTCAACATCCCTAGAGATAATATTTCACAGCTGTATGAGATGTATAGTATATAGTATGTCAGAATTCTGACACATTATTTCAGAATTCTGACATAAGATATAAAAACAATCTGAGATATTATTTTAGCGTGCTCTTAGGTATGAGGCTTTTTTTTCATTTCATCTGCCTATTATTGGATAGTTGAAGAAAATATTCACACAATCTTTTGTGTGAATATTCCTAAATTATTTAGCAAATCAGCCTCATTTTGTCAGAAATCTGAGATGATGAGTCTGATTTACTAAAGGATTTAAGAATGTCCACAGAATAAAATGAGTGGATATGCCAAATATTCAGTAATTCGAAAATAAAATCCCTATTTACTTATTGCGTTTGCACATAATCTTTTAATAATTGAAGTGAAAATTCACACAAAAAAAATGATTACAACCTATCAGCCTCAAATTCTAAAATTATATATTTATCTCAGACTTCTGCATGGCGGGACTGATTTACTTCATGTTCTTCATTTGAACCTGTTCTCACTGTAAGCACCCAATAATTTGTAAAGGTATAAAAAACAGTGTAATGTGAATGGCTTTAAAGTGTGCTCACAGGTAGCGCCACAAAGCAATACCAATAAAAAAAAGTGCAGGATGCAACTTGTCTTAACAAAATTAATAATATAAAAATAGAATTTTTTTTACATGATCAGATTTCAGAAAGTGAATCCAGTTTAATTGAGCTAAGTGGAAAATAAATAACTAAGTTGCGTAAATCAACCTCTGTGTCTAAAAAAAATCTGCCACATTATCTAAGATTTCTTTTTTTACTTGACCCTTCTGTATTAGACAGTGTCAGTAAATAACCAAACATTTCTGCTCTTCAAACGCCTTAATTATCATATCGGACGCCTTAATTATCATATCTTTTCTGCTTAAATGGACAATAGTTAGTAAATACCTTGGACCCAGCTTCTGCCCATTTCCTGGAGGTTTTTGTGACTACACGGGGGTTGCTCAGCAAAACCCTAGTATTTTTCCTAATGAATACTAGCCATTTTCCTCCTAGTATGGGTGGTGCACTGCCACGAGGGGTGGTGACATTACGGCACTGCCCCTCATCCAATCAGAGAATGCTTTGTATTCACTGAGAGAAGTACTAGGTGTTTGCTGAATGTCCGATGTGCTGAGCAAGTGACCTGCTGTGTTTTAACAGCAGAGGGGAAGTGGCTCAGGACAGCTGCAGAATGGGACCTGGAAGATCACTGTAAAGCACTGTAGTTTCTGCAGCTATGACAGTGTTTTACAGAATCCCCATGGCCCTAGCAGGGTGTCAGGGACCAGAGCACCTCCAGGTGGCGCTGGAACCAGGTCCTGCAGTTCCTGTACTTACCTGCAGGTGTGTCCAGGCAGCCAAGAGTTGTCAGGTACCAGACCACCACTGGGTGGTGCTGGAACCTGCAAGTCCAGTGCTCATCTACGGGTGTCTCCCAGCTGTTAGAAATTAATCACCACCTGGTGCTACCTGGAAAGGTATTTAATCCCTCCCTGCAGTGTGGATTTTGCCTCAGTATTGTCGCCAATACCCGAGTCCTGAGTCCTGTCCCAGTCCTGTATCCTGTCGCCTGCGTCCTGTTGCCTCCTTGCACCCTGACCTGATCTGTGGCTCCCCTTTTGTTGCCCTGCTCCCCATGTTAACTTGCCCTGTTATACCCTGTGTGTGTATTCTGCTGTTTGCTTCTAGTTTGGTTACGTTTATGTTACTTGTGGGTGTTGGTGGGGTTGCTTGTGTTTTTATGAGTTTGGTGTGTTTAATAAACTGTAAGTTTCTAAGCATTGTCGGCTGTGGTCACGTATTTGGTCCTCCCGAATAGATACCTGCATGCGGTGTGGGGACACCAGTGCACGGTAGCCTGACACAGGGAAAATGTTATACAGACATGCATTGTGCCAAGCTCACACAATGTGAGAATATAGCAACTTCTTTAGCTGAAGTTCAACTTAAAGCACCTCCTAGCATTCAACCCTTCCTGTATCTGACCATTTAACGCTGACGCTAACCTTTAAACCACAAACCTAAAGCTTAATAACCCCCCTCCCAACACCTAAGTCTTCACCTTTTACTTAATTCTGAACCCCTAGCATGTAACTGTACCCCCTCTACCTCAACTCTTACCTAACCTGTCAAGTAAAGCCTTAACACTTACCCCTCAAACTCAAACCTTAAAACTAAAACCTTAAGTAATCCCCATAATGCCTGACCCTAACATAGTGTAACCCCCTAAACAAAGCCTCAGCACTAAACTAACTCATTATTTAATTTAATTTCCTTATCCTGCAGATATGCTTGGAGCAGGCATGCTTTATCCTAATACTCACAGTTCTGCACAAAATTTCCTATAAATCGCAATAGAATATGATTTTCTATTAGAATTTATTACTGAGCAAGTGGTCCACATCCCTCAAACCATGTATTAAGAAAGAATTAGACAAGTGAATGGGAAGTTTAGGACACTGATGGTCAGGGAGTGAGTTAGCTACAGAAAAGAATAGAAAGAAGATGAAAGTTTGAAGATGTAGATATGGTGACTCAATATTAGTAATATCTCTTATTAATAAATAATGGTTATTTTATGCAGTTATTTGTAATATTTTTCTAGTTGTTTTGGGGAAAAAAATCCCATTCCATCTGTAGACCATACGTATGTAGAGCACAGGAGCATGGAAGATATTTGCAACTCTTTAACTCCAAATAAATATAAAAGTAATGAAGCAGCAAAAATACAGAAACCAGTGTACTGCATATATTTACCAGGTTTTACATACTTTTTTTTTAACTATAAAATTCTACACCATGTTGTATCTTGTACAACATTCCCTAATTTTTACAGTATATATATTATTATTCTATACAGAAATATAGTCCATCTTATGCCTAGGCTGAACTATTTTGCTTAACCAATGTATTACAATGTCACTGTACAAAATATTAATGAAAGCATCCATTTCAGACAGAGTGGTCTTGGCTTGGGCAGTACCATGGCACGTATAGGCGGCATTGTGGCTCCTCTAGTGAAGATGCTTGGTGAATTCTATCCTTTCTTACCACTGGTCATATATGGAAGTGCACCAATTATATCTGGATTACTAGTATATTTCTTACCTGAGACAGTTAACAAACCACTGCCAGACACCATTGAAGAGGTAGAAGAAGGGTAAGTAAAGTATCTATGCTTTTACATATAATTAATTTAAAGGAGAACTATGGGGTCAGGGCTTTTCCCCATAGTTCTCCTAAGGGTAACGGGAGGACACAAACTAGCTAAAGCTCGCGGTATACTGAGACGCCGCAGCCGGGACGGATCCCGACGTTACTGTCGAGATCCACCCAGCTGCAGGATTGATAGCTGACTCTGCCTATCTAGAGGCAGAGCCAGCTGTACCCGCCCCCTCCCCCGTCCGTTGCGCCAGTCAGCGCTGGAGGATCGGACAGGGGAGGAGGGGAATCCCTGCAGGGAGCCGTCAGTGACATTGTCACAGGTCGGCTAGAACTCATAGTTCTCCTTTAAGGAGCACTTAAGGGGTATAGTCATTATTCCTTCCATAGCTATAGTTAGCCTGGGGGAGAAAGAACACCTCACATGGTCCGCCCTGAATATTTATGTCTTCTCCCAGCATGCACCACTGGCCATGAACCTCCTAGTGATTGGCTAGTGAGACATAGATACTCATAATACTCTATTATTGGTTGCTCTGCTCTATGGCAAGGATATACCTGGCAGCAGGCAGATGCAAACAATAACAGATTGCTTAGGGGAAACCAAATGAGCATAGACCATTAGATCAGTATCAGAATACAATCTGACTGATGCAACTATATTTAAATAAGCACTCCTGTTCTGACAGAGGCGCTACAACAGTGATGTCTGCACAGCATTTGTCAGGGCAGGTTTCCCAATGGTGACAACAGTGGACCATGTCTGCATAATGTTTGTTGAACTGGCCACTTGTAGTCTCCATCAGACGCCCATGTGACAGGGTGGCAATGAAGGAGTACAATTGGAAAACAGGAAGTTTCCAAAAAAGGACCTTCATGGCAAGATAACCTGGTATTATTTTAATTAAAGCTGATTTAAAAATATTGAAAATTACTTTTAAAATGAAAGTGTTACATTTAGCATAGCTTGTATGAGATTTTGAGACTTTAGTGATTGGGTTTACATTTAAATGTCTTTAAAAACTTTAAATGTCTATGAGATTTATGTGGCATCTGATACAAATTCTTCCAATTATTATATGTTACCAAATTTAAAAGGAAAGGCAAAATACTTAGAACTGTATTGGGGTTGGTTGCGTGTGTGCTGACACACCTCCTGATGTGATAGCGTCTTATTATTTAAAAGAACATGTTTATGTTAATACAGGAAAGAATCCCCAGTGAAAGAGGAGAAAAAAGAGATTGTGCCTCTACAAACAATGAAAGCCAACCCTGTGCGTGAGGTGGTATGACATCAGAAATGGAATCAAACACTGACAGCCTCCAGGAACATCTTGATTTACCTACCCCAATTCTTAGGTGGGTTCATGACATGTTGTCAGTGAAAAACACTGTAAGAAGATATGGCTATGTGAAGTAGCAGGCCACTATGTCATATGTCTCTACAGGCAATTCTTCTCTACTGGACGTACAATGTCATTACTGCACTTTGGAAAGATCTCGGTACCCCAACCAGGTCACTCTGAGCCTTTCATCAAACCAACACTTACATGAACTCTGTAATGCTTGTTGTAGTAATTATGTTATCACCGCTACTGAGCAATGCTTAGCAGCTTGCCATTACTTGACTTTTCTGAAATCCTCTTCATGTTATTCATACGCTCTTATTACTGTAATGATTGTTAGAAGCATTTGCAGGCTCAGGAAGAATGTAAAGAGGCTCACAGATCCTGCTTGATGGCCCAAGGGCATGCATCTGAGTCCACGAACAAGCTTGGTGCTTGGAGCAGCTGCATTAAATCCACTAGTTGGTTCTATTAATGTACACAGCAACGTCATAGGTTTTTCAAGGAGCATAAAGAGAAGAAAATATAAGGTGTACTGGTAATCCAAAACTGTGTGAGAATATGTATGGAATATAATCCATGGATTGCACACATCACTGCTCTTATGCAGATGGAACTTTCTGAAGGGTAGTGAAAACAGGCAGTAGATAATGATGTTCCAACAACCGGTTTCCTTTGTCAGCTCTTTATCCGGCTTCCTTTCGTGTGCATTAAAAAATCCTTGTATCTTTTTTTTTAAATAAACATGATCATCATTTAATATTCAAGCATGAAAGCGATACATAGGACTGTCCCATAGTACTTCTGGTTAAAAACCTACTAAATGTCTATTATTATTAATTACTTTCTCACCAGTGGTCAGGTTTTAAACATGAAAGTAGAAAGACAGTATTTCTGTATTTCCAAAAGCCTGAATTACCTGTAAATAGTATGGATCAGTGCACCAAATACAATAACATTAACTTTCAGTTACTGTTCAGCAATACAGTGTGAAGTATCAATGCAATATTTCAACTTCAATGTTGTTTGTACAGTATGTCTGATTGTGTAATACACTGCACAATAACAATTTTCTTTGTGTAGATCCTTTTGAAATTTACCCCGTTCAAGATTGTACACATGGGCATTTTTTGCATAACTGAAGGCCATCTTAGCCTCACTTTAACTATTCCTAGGTGCAAAGTACATACATGTTCTGAAAATAGACAACATACATTACTGAGCAACTTTTATTGCTTACTAACACACTGATTGCTCTACGCTTACCTTGGAGTCTCAAAGTAACATCTGAGGTAAATTCAGCACTACAAGGTGTGGATGAGTGTTGTCCTTTGCCTTTTCCAGAGAGATCTATTGTTTCATTAGAGGAGTAACTTATACTATGTCCAAATGCAACAGTCTTATTCAGTTAAAAATTCCTATTCTTAAGTGCAGTAAACCCAAGAAACCTATCAGAAAAGACTCCTTTGAAGTCAGACCAGTACAAGATGGACATGTTAGTGCTCCTAAGATTTTAAACTTTTATTTATTAAGGATGTATGTGTATAGGAGCTTAGATTGCCCCATGAGCTGCAAACAGTCCTTGCTCTTAGAAGCATTTATAAATAAGCACAAAGCTCAGTCATAAATGTGTTACCCTGTTACAAGGATTTGCAATGAGTTTATACTGTAAGTGAAATAAACTGGCCTCTTTATTAAAAAAAACAAAACAAAAAAAAACTATGTATCAATTTGGATTTATTTTTGTTAGATTTTTGTTAGTTTTATCAAGTTTCCAATCAGAACAAGCACTGATGGGAATAATACAAAAAAAATACAAAATAATAATTAATAATAATACAAAAAAAGGTGTATACATTTAGTAGGGGAAACAATATCCTAAGGAAGCACCATTTCAAGATAAACTGAAACAAAAAATCACATTCTATTTGGAAGAGCAGACAGCCTAGAGGTTATTTCGTAAGGCGGCTCAAGCCCAAGTGGGTACTGGTATTATGTGGCGAGGGTGGCAACGAGATCTATACAGTATTGGAAATATTGTTTGGAGAGAGTTAAGAAAAAGAGGGAAGGAAAGGGCGGGTGGAGATGATATAAGACCTAGCCTCGTGGTGGGGGGCGGTTATTCAGGGATAAACACTTAACTAAGCTCCCCCTCCAATGTATTTGAGGAGCATGGGGTAAAGGAAAATTCAAAGCTTTAAGGAGTCTCTGTTGAAAGCAGGTAGGTAATAATGGTATATCCACTGGTTGCAGATATTCTGAAACTTGCTCATAGAGTTATTATGGTGTGCTGTAAGCTTCTCAAAAAACAATGTATGTGTTCCCCCCATCCCTCTACCCCTGAGGAGATCCCCCAGATGGTTCATGGGCTAGCATATAAACTATCAGAATGAAGGATGCCTGTCACTTCACAATGCATAAAGAGTTTATTTGGCACAATAAACTCCAGGAGAGAGGTTTGGGGCTCAGGATACCCAAAAATGGCAGCAAAAATATCACAGATCTTCTACTAGTATCCAGTGCAGGTTGTGGACCTTTAAGCCTAGACCGGCAATCTGTAATTGTGGACCTCTTTCAGCAAAGACACACTCCAGGCACTAGGACTGGGAGGCACAGACTTACAGCACAATCTCCTCTCTAGGCCTCAGGCAGGAGGCAAAGACTATTCTGCAAGATCATCCTCTCTAGGCCTCAGGCAGGAGGCAAAGACTATTCTGCAAGATCATCCTCTCTAGGCCTCAGGCAGGAGGCAAAGACTATTCTGCAAGGTCATCCCAAATATGTATGTTCTTCTCAGCATGCGTCACTGACAATAAAATAAAATAGTGATTTGTCAGAAAGAAAGTAATATTTAGAACTCAGTAATATTGTTTCTTCTTGCTCTATCTGCTGGGAACTCTCTGGAAAGAAGGAAACCCAACAAATACAGAGACAATAGCACTTAGAGCTTAGGCTGACTACAGCCTAGCTGCCTGCTAAAATTAGACTAGGGATACTCCAGCTTGAGGCAGGGTCCCTACACTCTCCCCCACTTGGAAAAACGCATTCTAGAAGTCTGAGACCAAAAAAAACTTTAATTTCTGAGAGTTGATGGTCCTGTTTTACAAAGGGCCAGTGAAAGGGTTAATGGGAAAGCAAATAACGTGTTACAGACTCTATGGGGTCTATTCACTAAGCTGCCGTAGGCAGCCGAGTGAATGACTGACCTAAAGCGAAGTGAGCCGGACGCTGTTCGGCTATTCACTTCAGGCTGTTACGGCTGATTTCAGCCGTATATATCGGCTGAAATCAGCCGTACATCGGGCTTTTAGCAACCTGTGGTGCTCTGTCTGGCTTCCTGCCTAGGTGACTGACATCATGAGTTGCCAGGAAGCTGAGCAGGACTCTCTAGATGGCGTCCCACCGAGCTCCTGACAATCAATGTCGTCAGTGAACTGGGCAGGAAGCCAGGCAGAGCTCCACAGGTTGCTAAGAGCTCATATGATAATGATCTTGTAACCTATTTCTTGGCCACTGTTTGCTCACAACCCACTGCAGACAAGCCCCCTTAGGGTACTCAGACATCCCCACTCCCCCGGACGCTCCGGAGTCTCCCGCTATTAGATGGCGGCTCCCGGCCGCCCGGGAGAGAAACACTTCCTCCCAGAAAGGTTTAATCTGCTCGATCGAGCAGATTAAACCTTTCCCTGCGATCGTTTTTTTTTCTTTTCTGATATCGGGAGCCGCGGCCCGACCGTCAGTCAGAAAAGAAAAAAATGGCATACAAATGCATAGCTAGCAGAGCGGAGGGGGGGTCAATCAGCAGAGGGTGACCTGGATTTTTCTATCAGGTCCTCTTCTGGTGATTGAAAGCAGCAGAGGGCGGGTGCCATAGCTAGTTTGCTATTGGCTATTGCAAAGTGCAATAGCCAATAGGAATCTAGCTATGCATTCGTATGCCTTTTTTATTTTATTTATTCTGATGACTACAACTGTCAGAATACTAAAAAAAAAAAAAAAAGCCTGCAGATAGCAAATAAGGTATTGCTTCCTGTGCAATCTGCCATCATTTCAGGGGGGTGCTCTCTCCCAGCCCCTCCCATCCCCCTCCTGAGGATGGGGGTGGGGAGAGGGCACCTCCCTGAAATGAGAGGGACACCTCCCTGAAAGTGCTTCTTTCAGGTTGGGATCCCTGGGGTACTCTTTAGAATTTCTACATCTCAGCAGCAAGAGTTGGGTGACTTTTTCATAAACAGCACTGGGGGCCTGTCTCTGGGCCACAACATAAGTAGCAGTCCACAGAGGTGAATCAAAGCAAGGGCTTGCAGACTTTCCCTTCAAATTGACCTTTACAGTAGACTGAGGTAATTCCGGAAAAGCCATGGCAGAGGTAAGGTGCATCTCAATTGGCTTAGTGTCACCCATCTGCACAGCAACAAAGAAGATTCTCCATCCCCTCAATCTTCCTTATTCTGTTACCTGTCTCTCCACATCCTATCCAGAGGAAATGGGGTTGATTTAATGAAGGATTAAAGCATGTTTACTTTGCAACGTTAATTTTCACTTTAAAAGAGAATTTTCCCTTAGCCTTCTGAATGTTTTAAAAATGCACTTTGTACACAATATCTCATCACTTGCTAGAAAAAGGAAAAAGAACAGCTTAAAAGGGGTGACACAAATGTTCATGAATTGGGTGAAGGAAAGTATTGGGTTCCTCAAGGAGCATACAATATTTTTTTGGCCACTGCAAAGATATGTTGAAGTAGTTTAAATTGGATCGAGGTACACCACTGCGGTTTCTTGTTCAGTAGGGTCTTGAAGGGCGTCCCATCTCCTCCAGCGGACTTTGCTTGAATCTCACAGCTCTCTGGATACAGGATACAGCAGATGTGAACGTCAGGTGATAGCGATGCAGTTCTCCAGGTTCAAGTTTGCAGGATCTGGGTCCCTATGTCAGTTGAAATGCAAGTCTCTGCCTCCGGCCACTCATCCAGGCCACA